AATAGGACAATGCCTTTTTATGTATAACACCAGAAATATAGATATCCAAAAACTGAGCAAATTGGATTTCATGAAAACAAATATTTTGTGCAACAAAACCACTATTAATATATCAAGAAGGCATTCCACTGACTGCACAAATATTTGCAAATTACATATCAGATATGGATTAATATGTCAAAATACATAGAGGACTCATAGCTCAACAACAAAAATAAATGAATGACAAGATTTGAAAATGGGCAAATATTTGAATAGCCATTTTTTGAAAGGTGTATGCAAATGAAAATGTAAATCAAAACAACAGATACCACTTCAAAACTATTAGAGCAGTACTGCCAAATGGCCAAACAAGTGCTGTGAGGGTACAAAGTGATCAGGACACTGGTGGGATGTAAAGTGAAAGGGATGCTGTGGAAAGGGGATGGAAGTTCATCAAAATATTAAAGAGAATTCTTTGATAATACAGTTGTGCACTTGGGATATTTGCTTAAAAGAATTGAAAACATGGCCTCAAAGAGATATTTTTCACCTGTATTTAGGGAAGCAGTATTAACTATAGTTAACACCTGGAAACAATTCAGGTGTCAATTTTTCTAAAGACTCGATAAGCAGATCTTTTATACAACAATGGATTATTATTTAGCGTTAGAAATGGAAGAATTCGGATAATGTGCATAAATTTGAAGACATCAGGTGAAATGTAATAAGCCAGCCTTGTGCAGATAAGCACTCTGTTCTCCTTACAGAAGGTACTCAGGGTAGTCAAAATCAGAAGGCAGATGTATTGTCAGGGAGTAAAAGGAGAATGGAGAGTTAATTTTAGTGAATATTGAGTTTCAGCTTTACAATATAAGAAACTTCTGGAGATATGGTTGCACAATAAGAATGTATTTAATACTACAGATCTTCACACTTAAGACTGCTAAAATGGTAAAATTCAGGGAAATTACCTGCATTAACAGAAAAAGGAGAAACAGGAAGAGGGTTAACTAGGAGGAGAAGGAGAAAGAAGAAATGGGCTATGAAACCATGAAAAATATAAAGGAAACTTAAATGCATGTTACTTATTGACTGAAAAAAAGTTAGTTTTAAAAGGCTCCATGCTGGCCGGGCATCGTGGCGCATGCCTTTAGTCCCAGCACTTGAGAGGCAGAGGCAAGTGGATCTTTGTGAGTTCAAGTCCAGTCTGTTCTACATAATGAGTTCAGGTCAGCTGGGACTACAGGGAGACTCTGTCTCAAAAAGACAAAAAAAAAAAAAAAAAAAAGTAGGGGGGCCTACATGTTTCATGACTCCAATGATACGACATTGTGGAAAGGCAAAACTGTGGAGGCAGCAAATTGTTGTTTCTGAGAGTTGGGGAGAGGAAAGGATGGATAGGCAGTGCACAGAAGACTCAGGCCACGGAAACTACTCTACTACAATTCTATGGTACATTTGTCAAAACCTCTAGTAAAACCCCAATAATATCTTGAGCTTGCCTAATAGCTATTTATCAGAATAGATTCATCAGTTGTAACAAATGCACAATGTGGTGTTGGACGTTGAGAGCTGGACAGCATGTTTGTGGAGGATGGGGAGACTATTAGAGTTCTTTGAGGAAGTTCTCAATTTTTCTGTAAAGCTAAGATTGCTCTAAAGACCATTTATTGATCTTTAAAAATATGAAAAAGACAGAAAGTCAAAATTTTTAAGTGACTACATTCTACAGGTATATTTAAAGACTTCTCTACATTGAGGTATTTGATCCATTTGGAATTGACTTTTGTGCACAGTGATAGATACGGGTCTAATTTCATTCTTCTACACATGGAGATCTAATTTTGCCAGTATGATTTGTTGAAGATGCTGTCTTTCCTCCACTGTGTTCTTGGAACCTTTGTCAAATATCAAGTAGCTATAATTGCATGTACTCATATTTGGGTCTTCTGTTTTGTTCTACTCATCTCCAGCTCTGTTTTTGCCAATGCCATCCTGTTTTTATGACAATAGCTCTGTAATATAGATTGAGGTCTAGCATGGTAATCACCCTGGGATTGCTCTTTGTGCTAGGATTTCTTTGGCTATCTGGGGTCTTTTGTGTTTCCATATGAATTTTAGGATAGATTTTTCTATTTCTATGATGCAATTTCAAATTGAAATATATATATATCTAGGGTTTCAAAACCAGCATCCAACTAAGAGAGGGAGCATGCATTGTTTGTCTTCCTTGATCTGGGTTAACACACTCAGCATTATTGTTTCCAGTTGTATCCATTTACCTGTGAATTTTATAATTTCATCTTAAAGAGCTATCTAGCCACAGGTTTTTGTCCCAACAACAGTTCCAGGTATGAGTTTCATCTTAAGTGGGCCTTATTCCAATCAGAAAGTGTTTGGTTACCTCCAAAACAGTCTTGCCACAATTATACCAGTGGGCCTATCTTTTCTGGCTCAGAGGGTACACAGCTGGGTAATATTGATGATTATTTTTCTCCTCCAATAGCATGCATAGCACCTTCCAAGGCTATGAAAGCTAGCTAGTTGGGAAGGAGCTTGGAGGTCAGCACCAGCTTGATTTCTCTGTGTTCTGTTACTCAAATATGTAGTGCCTTCAGCAATAGGGTTTTATGGACAAGTTCTGAAGGTGAACCAAGAGTACTGGCTATAAACAGTAATGTTAGTGGGCCTATGGGTCACCACTCGCCCATGATGCCAAAAGAGTTAACCCATTCCTAACACTGGGCTATTAATTTGCTAGACTGTGGTGTCTAGCAGGGGCATTGTATTTCCATTATATGGTAATTCCATTTAATCTCTCTCTGTCTCTCTGCCTTTCTCTCACCCCGTGTGTGTGTGTGTGTGTGTGTGTGTGTGTAGTAGTAGTAGTAGTAGTAGTAGTAGTAGTAGTAGGAAGCTTCTATAGTAGTACTTTCCATCTGACTTTTTCAAAAGGCCTTTAGTGTCAGTTAGACCTACCCATATTCCCTCTTCTGCCCTGCCACCCATCCCCCACACCATCTAGTTCTTCCTGTTCCATTATTCCCATTTTCTTGCTTATACCACTGCATCCTCTATCTTCTCCCTTGGCACATAGTATTTAAAATTAAAATTTGCTGCATTGACTGAACTGTCAGTATTTTTAAATTGATATATTTCATAGAAAAATCTGGAAATTTCTGTTTTTCTGGGAAGTGCCATCTACCTGCAACATTGATGGCCTTCTTCTATGGTAGTCAAACTAGTTACATGGGAGATGTACTTTACCTTTTAGTCTAGACCCCATCATTTCGGATAGCTTTCCGTTGTCATGTTTTATATCATTCAAGATGTTATGGCTTTTTTTCTTTTCTAACTGCCTTGAGTCTGTATATATTTCATCATTTCAACTACTCTTCTTTCATCTTTCTTTAAAATTATCTTTTACAGGATCTCATTATGTAGCCCCAGCTAGACTGTAACTCACTACATAGACCATCCCAAACTGGCCTGGCTCTCACAGAGATCCACCTGTCTCTGTCCCTCAAGTGCTTGGATTAAGGACATGTGCCACCATGCTATAGGTGGCACACATGGTTAACCATTGATGACTCAATAGTTAAGATCACTGGCTGCTCTTGCAGAGGACCCAGGTTAAATTCTCAGCACCCATGGCAGCTAACAACCATCCTAACTCCAGCCCCAGGAGATCTGATACCCTCTTCTGACCTCTGCAGGCATTGCATGACACATGTGCACTTAAATGTTCATGAAGGCAATACACTCATACACATAAAAATAAATAAAATGTTTTTTAAAATTACACTTTCTTTTCCTCCTAAATGTTACATTAAACTCATATGTACATTTGTTTGGATGTATGCATTACAGGCCAGGAGTCTGCATACAAGGCAGAATATGTGAGGTTTTTCTTTCTTTCTCAGATCAGGTGGGTGACTTCACATAATAATATATATTCTAAGTTTGTCTGCTTTCCTTCAAATTTTGTGATTTCATTTTTTATTTAGTGCTGAATAATATTGCTTTATACATTTTCATTATCTATCTGTTTATGGATGAGTATATTTGTTCTTTTTTCATGATGTAGAGAAGACAGCAACAGTAAACTCAGGGGTGCAAATGTCTGTATTGTAGGGTATGACGGTCTCTTAGTGTATGCCCAGAAGTGAAATAGCTGGATCATATGGTAGTTCTACTTTTATTTTTTTTGAGGAACTTCCAAACTAATTTGCACAATGGCTGTATTAATTTACATGCTCACTAGCAATGAATAAGAGTTCGTCTTCCTCCACATCCTCTCCTTGTCAGATTTCTTAATGTTAGCCATTCTGACTGGGATCTTGAACAATTAAAAATAGTATTTGGTGGGTCTGGTGAAATGGCTCAGAGGTTAAGAGCACTGACTGCTCTTGCAGAGGACCTGGGTTTGATTTCCAGGGCTCATATGGTAGCTAACAGCCTTCAGTAACTCCAGTTCCAGGGGATCCAGTGCTTTCTTCCGACCTCTGTGGGCATTGCATGACACAGGTACATTTACACACATGCAGGCAATACACATAAAAAATAATTGTTGGTTACTTGCACTTTTTTATGAAAACTGTCTATTCAATTCATTACTCCATTTGTTGATTGGTATTTTTATTTCCATTGTATTTCATTTCTGCAGTTCTTTGTAAATTTTGGATATTAATCCTTTGTCTGAAGCATAGCTAGTAAATTTTTTTCTCCCATTCTGTGGGCTGCCTGTGTGCTCTGCTGATAGTTTTCTTTGCTTTTCAAAACATTTCCAATTTCATGCAGACCCATCTGTTGATAGTTGGGGCTAGCTCCTGTACTACTGGTGTTCTGTTCAGTCGACTATTTTTATCTTAAAATACTAAGTTGAGATTAGCATTACTAGTAAGTTTTTTTTTTTTTTTTCAGAGCACAAGGGCAAGTATCAGGAAAGACATGTAAAATGATGAAGAAATTTATCAAATCGTGAAAATGACTGACATTTCTTCAAATTTGTTTTCAAGGCATCCATGTCCCAGGTCAGGCAAGTGGGACTGCTGGCTGCTGGGTGTCAGCCATGGAACAAAGACGTATGTGCTGCCAGTGGAGACCGATTTGCATACTGTGCAACTCTGGCCATCTATATATACCAGGTATAATAGAAATGATTGCTTTCTGTTCATTATTACAATGTCTACAGTTTTATTTAATTAATGCCTATATTATGAAAAACATTAATCGAATTTTAAATTTTGTCCTTTTTACTATTTTACCATCAGGATTTTTGTTGTTTGTTTGTTGAGATGAAGCTATATGTATCCCAGCCTGTGTTCAAATTCCCTATGTAGCTGAAGATTACCTTAAATTACTAATTCTCCTGCCTCCACCTCCCCAGTACTGAGATTACAAGCATGTGCCTCAACACTTTGTATATTTGGTTTTGGACATCAAGCCCAGGGCTTTAAATATGCTAGAGAAACACTGTACATTTCCAGACTATTTATTGGATTTTTAACCTCTTAGAAAATGTTTATATCAACTTATAAGATTGTCACCTGGAATAATTTTACATGAGAATATTCTCTTATGGGTTGAAGAAAATAAATGGTCTATTAGATATTTGTAAAGTAAGTCCAGCTATATTTTGAGATACATTTTTGGAAAAATCCTTTATAATTACTTTTTTTTCCTGGATTCCATTCATTCAATTAGAGCCAATGACCTAAAATTATAGCCTGATATCAAACTAACTTGTCAATTCAAAAGAGGTTTGGTCATGTAGGAAACTCTAGGCCATGTTGTAAGTTAAGACTTACTGCAAAGTATATGATTTTTAAAAATTTACTGAACATTTACTCTATTTTTAAAACTTTAAGCACCACTGTGAAAAACTCATTGTTTTATGTTGAAGGGGGAAAAAAAACACAACAAAGACAAATGTGCAATTAAATTAATACAAAATAATAAAATAAGAATTTAATTATTCTACAATTAATTACCACTAATTAAAGAAGGTAAATTTATAAATAAAGTAGAAATAACAAATTCACTTCATCTTTTCGTGCTTAAGAATATATTACCAACCATCTGAAAAACAATAAGAAAAAGTCAAGTGTACCATTACTCTGAAAGCATAGGACATCCCAGTAATTTGAAAATAAGTAGCTGGACTGAACTACTGCCTGTGGATACATTCAAAAAAGGGAGAGCCATTGCAATCACCTCTGTGCGCCGTGGTAACCCTACCAGGCTCAAGTGCATATTTACAGTCCAGTGTCACACAGATGGTCCTGGTTAAAATAAATGGGTCACACAAAAGAACAGAAACACATGAATCTGGAAAAGGGACAGGTAGGAGGAGGCTGTTTGATAGGGTGAGAGGGAGACAAGAGGTGTGTGTGTGTGAGGGGTTGGGGGAAGAGTAACTAGAATGCTTTACATGCATGCATGAATTTGTTAAAGAACAAACAATTTTAAAAAAGAAATATTTTAGTATTTGGGACAACTGTTTTTAAACACACTTAAACTTTTAAAAAGTTGTTTTAAATAAATTTATTTAAATCTATTTTAAATATTCTTTTTAATTAATTTAAAA